CCAGCGTACGATATATTTCCTTGTACACTTTTGTCCTACCACGAATTTAGAGGGAACCGTCGCTCACGGATAAATTTCAACTTCAACCAGCAGCGCCGCCAATGGCTGTCGAGAGTCCGATCCAAGTACGCCATGTACTAACCAACGGATGTTTCACCGACGACTGTAGGAAGAAGACGAGCTACCAGAAGACCGATTCCACCGCAAGGACATGCTGTCGATGCACATTTTAGACCAGCGCAAGGCCGATCGGGCCGAGAAGGCGAAAAAGTCCGAGGACGAGCGCAAAGCGCGCAAGGCTGAGAACGACGCCAAGGTTGCAGCAGCCAAGGCGGCCGGCAAGACGTGGCGGGAAATGTACCCCAACGAGCCCGAGACGACGTTCGTCGACCTCGGCGAGATGCTGCAGAAAGAGGCAGCGACGGTCGTCCTCGAGCCCCAAGCGATGCCGGAGTCGGAGATCGCCAAGGCCGTCAAGACCGAGTGGACTGGCGCGACCAAGATGGAGTTTGCAAGCAGTTTGGCGTTCGAGTTGCTGGATTGACAAAGGAAGCTATCATCGATAACGTTGTTGTTGTTAGACTACTGCGCGAGCTTGGCCATGTTGTCCTGCAATTGCGGCTTGAGTTGCCTGTAGTCACGGTCGAGCGTCGCGACGAGTGCTGCATACTGAGCGCTCGGAAGGCCCTGCACTTGCTGGATCTGGCTCTTGGACAGTGTTGGGATCCGTCCGGTGGTTTTCTTGGATGGCAGCAGATGAAAAATCGTCTGCAGTTCGGTCTTTTGCTTGAGCTGCATGAGCTCCAGCTTCATGTTGGACTGGTTCGCGACCGACGTCGTCGCCAGACTCTGGAGCTCCAGGTTCAGTCCCGGCGCGACGTTGGGACAAGACTTGTCGGTAAGCACGTGTTTGGTGCGCTTGGGCTTGGCCAAGTTGCTGTTGGTTTTGGCCCCGACGCTGGACCAGTCGAGCTGCTCAAACTGGACCTAGCAAGACCAAGAACGACAAGTAAGTTCCCACCTACTTCTCCAAGATGGTTCAACCTTGTACGGCTTGCGCTTGAGGTACGGCTGCTTGGGACGAGGCGCGGGGGGCGGCATGCTCGTGCCTTCTACGTCTGGTGGCGCGGGCGCGTCGACAACCCGCGCTCCTTTAAGCGGACTGCGCGGTCGCGGTGACGGCGGTAGAGGTCGCCTCACTTTTCGCGTCGGTGACTTGAATTTAGGCGGCTTCTGGGGGACCACCTCGGACTAGAACGATCGTGGTATCCGTGCAGAGTCGTAGCAGAAGGTACCAATGGCTCAGGGTTCGATGCCGGCGCCGCGTACGCCAGCTCGATGCGCACCTCGCCGCGCACGAGGTCCTTTGGCGCCATTTTTTCCAGTGGAAACCAGCGCCGGAGGCAGTGCGACGATGTCGCGAGCGGGCTGTGCTAACCGTCGACGTCAGGAGGACAACAAATGGCGTGGAAAACGTACGAGCAAGTCGACTGGGACTTGGACATGGCCAATGCAGCGCGACGGGCCATCGACAGTGGTGTGCAGCAGCTTGATCGACCCGATCCAGTCGTTGATGTCGTCGGCGAGGACGACGACGGCGTTCTCCCGACTCCACTCGACGATCGACTCGGAGTACACGACGGGGTCCATACTAGCGTCCACTCTACAGATAATGTGTACAGCACTGTCCTTTTATACCTGTAGCTAGCGCGCTCCTGCGTGCCCTTGTGCAAAAGCTGCATCTCGACATGCATGGTGCTGTGCAGACAGGCCAAGGGCGGGAATGGCGACACAAGGTGACGCAGTGCGAGCACCTGCAGCGTCAAGCTGCGCTCGGCCACCGGCGGCCGCGCCACGACGTCGTGATGGACGCTACCTGGCGCGATGTAGCTGCCTCGCATGGCCTCCAAGCGCAGGCACAGCTACGTCCATTTCACGGTTTTCGGCTACCTCGTCAGAGTCGTACCTCGTGCAGCGCTGCGCGGCGGCGGCGGGCTTCTCGCCGGTACCAGCGAGCGATGCGGCCGGCCATGCAACGCTGACGTGCGAGCCGAACGTGCAGCCATCGTCGCCAC